GGTGTTCAGAATGGTTTGATCCCTATCCAGCTGAATTCCTGAGAGGAGACGAAATCCAGGCCTCCTACTCCTCTGCCATCTTGCTCCGCCCCCCCCCCTTGCTTGATGATCTTATAATGGCTTCACTAAGGCATTAATCTTGCAAAGGTATGTCAGTACTTCTTTACCTCTAGATCCACAAGACTCAGATCTCAGCATACCATGGGAAGATGAGTAAGACTCCTGACACCAGAGGAAAAGCCTACACAGGGAAACAATAGCAAGATATCACTAATGTATATCAGCACTAGAAGATTTCTGTGTAGGAGTGGGTTCTAGACCAAGGAAAATAATATTGAAATTACTGATATTCTAGTAGCACCAGAGATTCTGGATTCAGTGTATCAGCTCAGTCAGTGGCTCTAAGAGTTTGCTGAGTTGGTTAACTGGAACCAGACTCAACAATGGTCTTCATTAAATTAGGTTAAGATACTAGAACTTTCTAGGCATAATAGAGGAGAAGAAAGGATCCAAAGGCTTGATGAGATAGGAATGTTGGTATGGTTTCATCATATGCAATGTTCTCTTCAACCCTTTCATTGTATCCCTCAGGAAGGCCCAGAGGACAATCACTTCACCTAAACATTGAGAAATCCATTGCTAAGAGGAGCAGTAATATTCTTGAAAAGCTCTGTATTTTCTGTGTCTGCACATATAATGGTAGAAGATGCCACTGTTGAAATGGGCTCCCTGCTTTCAGTGGTAAGAATAGAGTCCCAGAGTGGTAGGGGCCAGCGGCAACACTAGTAAAACAAAGAAAAGGGGGCAAGGTTGCTGTAAAGGACAGCAAAGTCAGAGTGGTAACTAATTGGGCTTGATCCACAAGGATCTTTGGTGCTCACTAATTAATGATTAACCTATGAAAATCTTAATCTGGCAAACTAAAACCTGATATGTCACCCAAATAAAGCGACACAGCCTCTCAACTAGTTTTCTTAATTTAGCTGGTTCGTAGACCCAGAGCCTCCCAAATGAAGGGAATCTTGAGAAAGAACACTTGAGGGGTGCCTGGGTGGCTCAGTCGTTAAGCGTCTGCCTTCGGCTCAGGTCATGATCCCAGGGTCCTGGGAT